CCTTCCGCCCTGATGATCCCCTCATCCCTGTTTCCAATTCCTACTTCCAAGCTGGATCTAAGCTCCTTTTCAGAGACATTATTTTCTTGTGCCGCCTTCCACTCAGGCCTGATTTTTGGGAAAGCAACTTTCAGAGGGTTGTGACAACTTTCAAGCGTTTGACGAACTGTGATGGATCCCCAGGTTCAGGCGCAGAAGGGACAGGTGGTGACGTTGGCTAACCGCGGAAAGTTGTTGCTGGAGAAGTCGCAAGGAAAGACCGTGTTGGAGCCAAAGTGAGTTTCAGGCGTTTTCCAGCAACCAGATTCTTTCTTAGATTCTCTAGCTGAGATTATTATGAAGCAAATTAATGGAGGCGAAATTGGATTTCGGGGAAAGTAAGCGAAGTTTTTGACAAGTTTGGCATCGAATTTATGATAAAAGCTCAAAAAGTACTGCTTTGAGGTCATCCCAACACAGACAGTTAGTAATAGAATCGTTCACTACTATTGGCAGTTTTTTCGGTGTTGAGATTTTTCGGTGAATTTTGGACAGAATGAGTAAGGATATGAACTTGGAAGCACTTGTCTAGGACTTTCTTGACGGACGAACATGAACGAGTTGAAGACAGGAGTGTTTGAAGAAAGACATGTTCAGAACACTTCAAAATTTCTGGTAGCAACCACATTTTTGCTGTAAATAAGTTATATATTGCGATATATGCAAATCTAGAAACTCAGTAACAAAAATGCCAAAAAATCCCCTCTATTTGCTTTCATTGAGAAGCAAAGGCGCTCAGGAAGTATTCCGAGTGGTAGCAAATGCCAACAGTAGAGACTTTTCGAGGGTTGCTTGCAAGCAAGCTGATGGCGGGTTTGACTCCCTGGCATATGCCAGTACCAATTTACCATCGTAGCCAATGAAAGAATCGTAGAGGGATTGGTTGGCCCACCGGCGAAATCGAATCTTCTATCCCACAACTGCATGACAACAGTGCTACTTCACAACGCCGTGTCTGCCGGAGAAAGTCAGTTTTTTGTATCAAAAAAATGGTGTTTTTGAGTTGAAAAGGGAGGAGGAGGGGGGCAGGGACTTGCATGGTTTTCAAGAGATTTTGAACCTGGGAGAATCAAATTTGCTGCAACTAGCTGAGATTGAAGGGTTCTAGGGCGACTGCGCAAAACACCGATGAGGACTCAGTGTCAGCGGTCTTCAAAATCTTTTTGCAACAATTGTCCCAGGAAATCATGAATCTATTAGTAATTTTTTTAAGAAAAATCTGGGTAAATTACCCGTAACACAGTTATAGCTTCTGGATACTGCGGAGAGATTTTTTTTTGATTGGTTTTATACGTTATGCAAGAGCGTATATTGTCGAGAGGTTGTCGGTATATGCATGCATTTGTTTATTCGGATTTTTGTCACCCACATTCAACTTAGCGTTCCATTCGTACTGCTACTTCTTCCTCTTGACACTTTTCCACTTCTGCATTGCAACCTTCTAATCCCTTTCAAATACCCTAAATTTATGCCTTTTTAAAAAATTCTTTCCGTTCCTATCTTCTTCTTTCTTCCTACCTTC